AATTTCAGGATTTTGGGGGAAATTTTGGGGAGGAAATGGAGGATTTTGGGGGGGATTTTGGGGTGGAATTGGAGAATTCGGGGGAAAATTTTGGGGAGGAATTTGAGGATTCAGGGGAGGGTTTGGGGGGGAAAATTGAGAAATTTGGGGTGAAAATTGAAGATTTTGGGGTGAAAATTGAAGATTTAAGGGGGGATTTTGGGGGGAATTTTGGGGTGGAAATTGAGAATTTTGGGGGGGGTTTTGGAGTGAAAATTGCAGATTTTGGGGGTAATTTTGGGGTGAAAATTCCAAATTTCGAGGTGGGTTTGGAGGGTTTTGGGTGGGATTTTGGGGTACAAATTCTAAATTTTGGGGTGAAAATTCCAAATTTCGAGGTGGGTTTGGAGGGTTTTGGGGTACAAATTCCAAATTTTGGGGTGAAAATTGAGATTTATGGGGAGGATTTTCGGGTGAAAATTGAGAATTTTGGGGGGGATTTTGAGGGGGATTTTGGGGTGCAAATTCCAAATTCTGGGGTGAAAATTGCAGATTTTGGGGTGGAAATTTAGAATTTTGGGAAGAAATTTCAGGATTTAGAGGATAATTTTGGGGTGAAAATTGAGAATTTTGGGGGGGATTTTGAGGGGGATTTTGGGGTGCAAATTCCAAATTCTGGGGGGCATTTTGGGGTGGAATTTCAGGATTTTGAGGGTCATTTTGGGGGGCAAATTCCCAATTTTGGGGGTCATTTTGGGGTGAAAATTGAGAATTTTGGGGAGGAATTTCAGGATTTTGGGGGACATTTTGGGGAGGAATTTCAGGATTTAGAGCATAATTTTGGGGTGCAAATTCCCAATTTTGGGGGTAATTTTGGGGTGCAATTCCCCGATTTTGGGGGTAATTTTGGGGTGCAATTTCCCGATTTTGGGGGGGATTTTGGGGTGCAAATTCCGAATTCTGGGGGTCATTTTGGGGTGCAAATTCCCAATTCTGGGGGTCATTTTGGGGTGCAATTCCAGGATTCTGGGGGTCATTCTGGGGTGCAGTCGCCCAGCCCCGGGGGTCCCGCAGCAGCTCCCCCCGGATGAGGGGCAGGAACTTGGGAGGGTCCTGGGGGGTCCCGAGCGCTCTGGGAAGGGTCGGGGGGGGATCCCGGGGGAACACGCGGAGATTTGGGGGTCGCGGAGCGGATTTTTTGGGGAAAAAAGGGAATTTGTGGAGGAAAAAGGGAATTTTAGGGCGAAAAAAAGGAATTTTGGGGGTCCCGAGGGGTTTTTGGGGGTCCCGGAGCGGATTTTGAGGGGGGAAAAGGGGAATTTAGGGGTTAAAAGGGAATTTAGGGGTTAAGAAGGGGGATTCGGGGTTAAAAAGGGGGATTTGGGGGTCAAAAAGGGGAATTTGGGGTAAAAAAGGGGAATTTCGGGGTCCGGTCCGGAACCGCTCGGGGGCCCCGGGGCCGCCCCCAAGATGGCGGCGGCGGAAGAGGCGGGGCCACGGCACGGAATGGGCGGGGCTTAACGGAGAAACAGCCAATGGGAGAGCGGAGCGGGTCGGGGGCGTGGCTAAAAGTAGGCGCGGAGGGGCGTGGCTTATGCTGATCTAGCGGTTCCCATTGGTTAGTGGGAGGAGTGGGCGTGGCTAAATGCCCCGGAATGGGTGTGGCTTCCACGGGGAGGGGCGGGACCGCGCGGCTCTCATTGGCTGAGGGATGGGGCGGTGCCGGAAGTAGGCGTGGCCGGACGGGCGGAAGCGGAAGCGGCGGGAGCGGCCATGGAGGAGGCGGCGGGAGGGAGGGTGAGGCCTCCCCTCCCCCACCCCCCAAAAACCCCAAAAATTCCCCCAAAAATTCCCTAAATACCCCAAAACCAGTGTGACAATGGTGACAGTGACAATGGTGACAGTGTGACAGTGGCAGTGGTGGCAATGTGACAGTGACAGTGACAATGGTGTCAATGTGACAATGTGACAGTGACAGTGGTGGTGGTGTGACAATAGTGACAGTGTGACAGTGGTGACACTGACACAATGGTGACAATGGTGACAGTGACAGTGCCACAGCAGTGGCACGGTGCCAATGGTGGCAGTGTGACAGTGACAGTGTCAATGTGACAATGCTGGAGGTGTGACTGTGGTGACAGTGTCACAGTGGTGGCAGTGTCAGTGTGACAATGGTGGCAGTGACACAATGGTGGCAGTGTGACAGTGTGACAATGGTGGCAGTGACACGATGGTGGCAGTGTGACAGTGACACAGCAGTGGCAGTCACAGTGGTGGCAGTGTCAATGTGACAGTGACACAGTGACAGTGACAGGGGTGGCAGTGTCAATGTGACAATGATGACAACAGTGGCAGTGTCACAATGGTGACAGTGACAATGGTGACAGTGTGACAGTGGCAGTGGTGGCAATGTGACAGTGACAGTGACAATGGTGTCAATGTGACAATGTGACAGTGACAGTGGTGGTGGTGTGACAATAGTGACAGTGTGACAGTGGTGACACTGACACAATGGTGACAATGGTGACAGTGACAGTGCCACAGCAGTGGCACGGTGCCAATGGTGGCAGTGTGACAGTGACAGTGTCAATGTGACAATGCTGGAGGTGTGACTGTGGTGACAGTGTCACAGTGGTGGCAGTGTCAGTGTGACAATGGTGGCAGTGACACAATGGTGGCAGTGTGACAGTGTGACAATGGTGGCAGTGACACGATGGTGGCAGTGTGACAGTGACACAGCAGTGGCAGTCACAGTGGTGGCAGTGTCAGTGTGACAATGGTGGCAGTGTCAGTGTCACAGTGTCACAGTGACAGTGCCAATGGTGGCGGTGTGACAATGGTGACAGTGACAATGGTGACAGTGGTGACAGTGTGACAATGGTGGCAGTGTCAGTGTCACAGTGTCACAGTGACAGTGCCAATGGTGGCGGTGTGACAATGGTGACAGTGTCACAGTGGTGCCGCTGTCCCCTGTCCCCCGTGTCCCCAGGAGCTGCTGTCCCTGCCCGGGGTCTCTGTCCCTCTGTCCCTGCCCCCGCGGCTGCTGCAGGGACGGCTCCGCGTGCGGCACCGGGTGAGACACACTGGGGATACTGGGATGGACTGGGGGGACTGGGAACCGAACTGGGAGGGACTGGGAACCGAACTGGGAGGGACTGGGATGGACTGGGAGGGACTGGGAGGGAACTGGGACATACTGGGAAAGACTGGGAGATACTGGGATGGACTGGGAAAAACAACCACTGGTCCGTACTGGTCCATACTGGTCCATACTGGTTTACACTGGTCCGTACTGGTCCGTACTGGTCCGTACTGGTCCGTACTGGTTTTGCAGGCCCAGGACCTGGTGCTGCAGTGGGAGCCCCTGGAGGAGAACTGGGAACCCCCCGGGGAGGAGGTGAGACCCAAAAACCCCAAAAATCCCCCAAAAATCCCCCAAAAAACCCCAAAAATCCCCCCAAAAAAACCCTGAAATCCCCAAATTTCCCCCCAAAATCCCCTGAATTTTCCCCAAATTATCCCCAAAGTTTCCCAAAATCCCCCAAATTTTTCCCCCAAATCCCCCAAATTCCCCAAAAATCCCCCAAATTTCCCTGAATTTCCCCCAAATCCCCCGAATTTCCCCAAAATCTCCTAAATTTCCCCAGTTTTCCCAAAATCCCCCAAATTTCCCCAAAACATCCCAAAATTATTCCAAAATCCCCGAAACTTCCCCAAAAAAATCCCCAAATTCCCCAAAAATCCCCCAAATTTCCCTAAATTGTCCCCAAATCCCCCAAATTTTCCCCCAAAAAAATCCCCAAATTCCCCAAAAATCCCCCAAATTTCCCCAGTTTTCCCAAAATCCCCCAAATTTTTCCCCCAAATTCACCAAATTCCCCAAAAATCCCCCAAATTTCCCCAGTTTTCCCAAAATCCCCCGAATTTCCCCAAAACATCCCAAAATTTTTCCAAAATCCCCGAAATTTCCCCCAAAAAATCCCCAAAACCTCCCAAAATCCCCCGAACTTCTGCCAAAAAATCCCCAAATTTTCCCAAAATCTCCCAAATTTCCCCCAAAAAACCCCAGAATTTTCCCCAAAAAAATCCCCAAATTCCCCAAAAATCCCCCGAATTTCCCTAAATTTTCCCCAAATCCCCCAAATTTTCCCCCCAAAAAATCCCCAAAACCTCCCAAAATCCCCCCAAATGTCCCCAGGTGTCCCAAATTTCCCCCAAAAAACCCCAGAATTTTCCCCAAAAAAATCCCCAAATTCCCCAAAAATCCTCCAAATTTCCCGGAATTTTCCCCAAATCTCCCCAATTTTCCTGAAATCCCCCTGGATTTCCCCCCAGATTTCCCCAAATCTCCCCAATTTTCCCCGAACATTTCCCCCAAAATCTCCCCAATTTTTCCCAAAACCCCCTGAATTTCCCCCAAAAAAATCCCCCAATTTTTCCTGAAATCTCCCCATTTTCCCCCAAAATCCCCAATTTTCCCAAAACCCCCCGAATTTCCCCCAAAATCCCCCCATTTTCCCCCAAAATCCCAATTTTCCAATTTCCCCAAAAAAATCCCCAAATTTTCCTAAAATTCCCTGCATTTCCCCCGAATTTCCCCAATTTTCCCCAAATCCCCTGAATTTTCCCCAAATCTCCCCAATTTTCCCAAAATCCCCAGAATTTCCCAGGATTTTCCCAAAATCCCCTGAATTTCCCCCAAAATCCCCTGGATTTCCCCCCAGATTTCCCCAAATCTCCCCAATTTTCCCCGAACTCCCCCAATTTTCCCCCAAAATCCCCAAATTTTCCCAAAACCCCCCGAATTTCCCCAAAAAAAATCTCCCCAATTTTTCCTGAAATCCCCTAATTTTCCCCCAAAATCCCCAAATTTCCCCAGATCTCCCCAATTTTCCCTAAATCCCCCAAATTTTCCCCAAAATCTCCCCAATTTTCCCCAAAATCCCCCAATTTTCCCCAAATCTCCCCAATTTTCCCTAAACCCCCCGAATTTCCCCCCAAAAAATCTCCCCAATTTTTCCTGAAATCCCCCAATTTTCCCCCAAAATCCCCGAATTTTCCCAAAATCCCCCGAATTTCCCCCAAAATCTCCCCAATTTTTCCTGAAATCCCCCAATTTTCCCCCAAAATCCCCAAATTTTCCCTAAACCCCCCCAATTTCCCCCAAAATCTCCCCAATTTTTCCTGAAATCCCCCAATTTTCCCCCAAATCCCCCAATTTTCCCAAAACCCCCCGAATTTCCCCCAAATTTCCCCCCCCAGGAGCCGCCCGACCCCGGCTTCGAGCCCGACTGGGCGGTGCTGAGCCCGGCCCCGCCCCCGCCCCGAACCGGTACCGGGGATTGGGGAGAATTCCGGGGGTTTTGGGAAAATTGGGGGAATTTGGGGGATTTTGGGGGAAAACTGGGGGATTTTGGGAAAAAATGGCGGGATTTTGGGAAAAAATTTGGGGGATTTTGAGTTTTGGGGAAAATTTGGGGAATTTTGAGGGAAAATTTGGGGGAAATTGGGGGGATTTTGGGAAAAAATTGGGGGATTTTGAGAGAAAATTGGGGGATTTGGGGGATTTTGGAGAACAATTTGGGGATGTTTTGGGGGAATTCGGAGGATTTTTGGGAAATTTGGAGGAAAATAGGGGGATTTGGGGAAAATTGGGGGATTTGGGGAAAATTGGGGGGTTTTGAACCCTTTGTCTGTTAGCACATCTATTGAATGTGGTTGTGTTGATGCTGTTTATATGTCACCTTCTCATTTTGTTTCATTCGGAAAGACCTTGCCTCAAATATTCACTGTCTTCTGATGAGTTTATTGTTTGATTGTTCTCAAAAATACATAATCTTGTTCTATTTTTTTTTTGGGGGGGGGGGGGATTTTGGGGGGATTTTGAAAATTTGGGGGGGAAAATTGGGGGATTTGGGGGAAAAATTTGGAGAATTTTGAGGGAAAATATCGGGGATTTTGGAGAAAATTGGGGGATTTG